ACAAGAAGCCACAGAGGTCTTAAAAAGCTCTGCAGTAGTTAGGACTGAAACAATCAGTTCACTTTTATGGGAACAAGCTTGACTAGTAGAAGTAATTCCCCCTTCCAACACTTAGGAAAGTGTCATTGCAACTTTGCAACATTTTGAAGTTATTTGTTTTGCTTGTGATTACTATGGCGAAAGACGGAGGAGAAAGTCAGGACTGGAAGCTACTGCACATGCCTTCAAGTTGGTTACTCTGAGATAATGAGGGATGAAAGACATCCCTTGGAAAGGCAGAAACGCATTTTTTGTTTCCCCTGGCATTTAAGAACTCAGATAGCAGAAGAGATTGGTAAGAGAGCAGAGGGAAATGTAATCAAATCTCCCTATAAATGTTTACCAAAGTCCAAAGGAAAGGACTCGAGGTTTGGAAAGGTAAATACTTTAGTGATATTCAGTGATATAACCTTGAAAAAAAAGAATTTAATACCTGTTTTTCTGCTTATCACTGACTTCCTACAGTGCATATAGAAATGTTTTTTCCACTTTAAACAGGGTTGTCTTGTTGTAAACAAGTTGTGGCATGAAAATGAAGTAAGGTGGAAAATGTGGTGAATTAGGTACATGACTTGATTTTGTAATTTTCTGCAGCTTTAATAAAACTTCTGAAACCAGTCAAGACTGAAGAATTTGTGTTAAACTCTTTTGTGAGCTGGATAAATTCCTTAATTAAAGTGAGACTTTCTAAGTTAGGCTGTGAAGGAGATGCAAGACTATAAATATGAAATTTCTCCAGCAACTGCTTTCTCTTTCATTTAGCTAGAAATAGAAGCATGAGGGAATGTGTAAATGTTTGTAGAAATTTATACAGTGATTTCTTGAACTGTACTCAAAATTTACACTGACATATTAAACATCCAAAGTCATTTGCAGTTTGGATTTGTTGAACATAGTAATCCAGACTGGTGAAAGCTTTCTGTGAAATTGTTCAGCATAAAGTACAAACTCAATTGCAAAGGTGTTTCTGCATTGTAAGCCTTTCTCTGTCTCTGACCCTATTGTTTCTGCCTGTAAGATAGTGTAAGATGTAGAAAGAAGGTGGGAATAGAGTTACAGAGTTGATACGTAAACAAAATCTAATCCATTTTGAAAGTTGAAAATTATAAAACAATAAGAACACAGAATATGTTATGTTGTATGCATATAAACAGTATTAGAGCTGGTGAAACTGTTCTGAGAATGTTTTGTCCTAATGTAAATTTCCAAGAAAAAGAACAAAGCATTAAGACTAGTAAAACTAGGAAAATTAATTTTACATGAAAATATCTGCAATTTTTTTCAATAATTGACTGAAAATGTTTTTATTTATGCTGTTTTGGTTAAAAGTTATCATGTTCTTTCCCAAGTGCCCTGTGGCTAAAAGAAAATGAAAGAGAATGGATCTTGTCTCCAGCTTTCATTTGAGTGTCTGGGAGCATAATGTATTTGCCAGAAACTTGACATAGAGCCTGATTTAACAGCCAGGTAGGAGGGTGGGACGGTGATACCCTGTATCAATCAGATGGATCCCAGTGCTATGTCTGTGCAACCCCGGCTCGCTCAGCACCTCCCCAGCTCTACTCCTCATCATTCTGGATCTCCTTGGCCACTGATGAAGCATGGCTGGACATGCTTCTGGCCCTGGACCTGTTCTACTCACCATGTTCAAGGCAGTGGGACTGTGTGCCTGTGGCTACCTTATTGGTGTGGATGCTGCCTTACTGCCACCACAGGCTCTGGCTTTCCTCACATACAGCACCTGAAAAAGGCTGCTAAGAGAATGAAAATCTGTGAAATCAGTATTGACTGGGGAGAAAATTACCTAGGGAATAGAGTTAGACTTTTTAGCTATATTAAAAAAAAAAATGTAGAGGAAAATGTGCCTTCAAATAAATGTTTCCTGTCTATTTTCAGCAGTATAACAGAGCTGTGCTAAGCTAGAGTAAGCAGAAGCATGAGACACATCCACCCACTTCTAGTGTCTGAAAGCTTCAGAGTAAAAAGGGAGGAAAAGGGTGAAGTGACTTTATCTCATTTATAACAGCCCTAGCAACTGTCTTGAAAAATGTTTAGTCTAGAAACTTAAGCAATAGTGTTGGAGTGCAGAGACTTACATTTTATTTCTGCTACTGTTCTCTTCTGTGGCCTAGGGTTTCTTTTAAATATTTAGTCCTCACCTTCATGGCCCTGACCATGCATCTATTTTGATAAACCCATGTCTGCGTGTCTACATTTCTAAGGCTACCTTAATTTGTAGTTCAGAAATACTCTCGTTTGCCTATAAAGAGCAGAAAAGGCTCCCTGGGGGCCAGTGTTGGTGTTTTCTAGAAAAGAACTGCTACTTGTTCACTTTACAGAAGTTTTTGTCATTAATTTTTATAATTTGGAGGAAAAAAAAAACAATTCTAGGAAGATCATTAAAGAAATGGCTGCCTTAAAATACTAAATGATTATCAGTGTATTTAGTAGTTCCTCCTGACCAGCATCTAAAGTAAGCGTGACTTTAGTAAGAAAATGAATCTACAGTTGTTTAATGTATTCAGCAGCAAAATTAATACAACAGCAGTTGTCGGATAATTTGAACATTGAATTTATAGGAGTAATTTTAATTTACATCAAGCACTGCAGGCAATTTTTATACATCAATTTGCATTTCAGTGTTTATGCTCAGCTGAGGGAAAATGGTGGCTTTTTAAAAGTTGCTGGTATTCCATGAAATTTAATGCAACGTTGCAGGGACTGTAGAAAGAAGATAGTCCTTCTGATGCATTTTAAAACCTAAAGTTTTCAAGAAAAAGGACAATTTAAAAGCCCTTCATTCTATTTAGCTGTAAGAGTAATTAGTTCTGTTTGTATCTCACAGACAGTCTTTGAACACTTGTGATGTTTATTTTGCATTTGTAAACTGCTGCTCACTTTGTTAATTACAAATAGGAATGAAAAGCTTTACCTAGATTATTGCAAAAATGGTCTGTAGTGTTTGACTTCAGAATTAAAATGGCAACATTTTAGCAGTGAATAATTTAATGTTTGAAAATTCTGGATAGATTGAAATAAAGAGATTTTTAAAAGTTAGTTTTTAGAAAAAGTTAGGATAATTTATTTTAAAATGTTATAACACAATACAATAACATAGTTAGTCAGATATACAGCAGGTGTAAAGTGGTGTACATTTATTTAAGTTGGTGTTGATGATGAAAATCCATGTATCTTAATATTACCGTTGTCCTCAAAAATTAGTTTCTCTTCACTGCAAGCGAGAGTGCATATGTGAGCATAGGAAATATAAGCATTCTAAAAAATGAGAAGGATTTTTTCAGACTTTCAAGATCATATCCACCATCTTTTTTTTTTTTTTTTTTGGCTGGAATTTTCTTTTTTGCTGGAAGAATTCCAAGTTACGTATTGTCAGTTAGATCTCAGGATACACACAATTTGTCTTTTCGTTTAAAATAGGCTTCTGGGCTATCTGACAGCAGTTATTGATACGTATCTGACAAACGAGGCCTATCTGTGTGCCACTGAATGACTTGCTGGTTAACATTTGTTTCTCTCTTTGAGGTCTGAGCCACCGTAAAACATTAAGTGAATTGCACTGACTAATTTAGATCCATCCTTAGCCACACCATGAATCCATGGAGACACCTGGCAGGTTCTCCTTCACCAATATGAAGGCAAAAGAGGCTGGCATCTCCTAAACCATGTGTGCTTACATGGCAGCCTCTAGATTTTGCCACAGTGATGCCAGGGTAGGAAATTACGAAAATATCTCATCAGTATTTCTTGTTAAACTTTGTCCCAAGAGCAAATATATACCCTATATTCAGTACATGGTTCTGTTTGTGTAGCCTGTAGCTGAACAAGGTATATTTTGTATGATTAATGTTTCTTTCCCAGCACGCCAACAACCAAGCATGAATTTAGGTATAGCACTTGTCAAGTTTCATTTTAGTGATCATAACCGTGTTTTGTTTTATCTGAATTATACGCATCTCAGCAGCCCTAATTAAAATGGACTGCTGAGAGTGTTCCTTATTCATATTATCCACTCTCTACTAGACACAAAAAACTTCAACACCATTCATTTATAAACATTATTTCTATCCATAGTGAAATGGAGCCATAGTGAAAACAAATGCCTAAGGACATGCAACAAATCCAGAACAGAATAAACAACAGAATTATTCACTAGAACTCTGTGAAACAACTTCTATGGCCTCTGAAAGTTGTACATGCTCCATTTTCCTGTGCAAAGCAATGGTAGATTGCATATTCTCGTTTGTCATTTGTCCACTACACCGATTCACTGAGTTAAAAGTTGCATTAAAATCAGGATGAGTTCTGTTTGTACCTTCAATTCAGCTGAAGAAGTGCTGATACAAGCACGATCTTTTATTTTTTAAATTTATTCGGGAACACTTCTCATTTTTTTTTAATATATTCTGTGGAAGCCTTATTTGTTATGTTTTGTGTTACAGGGCTCTCCAGGTAAGGAGAATACAAATGCTTTGATTATCGTCCCTTAGTCAGTTTTCAGTCTACTCAATATGGATGATTTCCTTTAGGGGAGATTATTTGGCACATACTTCAATTTACTATGATCTACTACTGTATATCACTCTAAATTACTATATGTCTCTTCTCCACTAGCATATAGAACTACATATGTGTGACATAGTTTTTATAATTATGTTTATTTTTTGGAAATTGCGTATTATGTAGTCTACTCCACTGATACTGGCAATGTATACCTTAACAAGTTTGTAACTCAAGCGTTCAGAACAATAAAATCTAGTGATTTTGAATTTTGTATTTGTTTTGAATTGAAATATTAAAGATATTTTTCCTTGTAACAACCAAAATTTTGTAAGTATCTTTTTCCCAGAAGTGCTGTGTTACAGAGTTTTCAGGAGAAAATTCTTCTCTCTTTCAGAAATCATCTGCTGCTGCAGGGTTTGGACGCTACACGTTCAGAAGAAATAAACTGTTGGATTACCTACATGAGAGGGAAGATTCCTGAGCTTGTAGAATCTGAATTGATTCCCTGGCTAGAAAGGTAAATAAAAACAACTCAACATACAATCTACAAATATTATGGTTTGTAGACTCCTAAGACTTTTTTATTCTGCAAGTTAGCAGTGCTAAATAAAAACGAGGGAAAGTTTTCCACTTCTACCCCAATCTTCTGCTTTCTCCCAATCCCACGACTTTTCCTGGTCCTTGCCCCTACTTCTTTTAAGATATCATATTTGGCCTGACATGATTCAGTTCTAAACGCCATACCAGGCCTTCTATCCTCAATTCACATCCATTCAGATGACGCTCTTACCCTTTACACTGGCTTTTCTACTCTCAAACACAAGGATGCTGATAGCCTAGAACCCTCATTTCAGGTCCCTGCTGCATGCACTGCTTTTCCTTCATGTAAACTTTATAAGGAGATCAATAATTCTTCTTTCCTCAATGTAATTTTTTTTTTTTTTTTTTTTTTCTGCTGGAGAGTATATACATTGCCTCCAGCACTGAAATTAATATGATTGGAGTTTGTAGGCCATATTATTTCCAGCTTCCTCTGAGGAAAGCCGTTAGGGAAAACATAGACTAGGGGCTTGTTAATTTTTCTGGAGGTTTGTATTTGGCATGTAAGCTAGATATTGCCCACTCACTAGTTCAGGGGAATATGGCCTTGCTTAAATGATTGTAAACACTATCATGCTCTGCAGTATTTCCTGAAAGATGTTTCGGCTGTTTTCTTTTCCCTTATTTGCTTGTATGGTTCTTTCTTGCTGTTTGTTGTCAAGAGTTCCCATCAACAGAGTATGTATATCATCATTAATATCTTTTGTTTCAGAAATATTGCAACTCAGTCAGTAAAATAGTTTCTGAATAAAAATTGGTCTTTCTGATTCTAAGTAGGCTAATATTTTCACAGACAAACTAACAGAACCTACTTTCAAACTTTCCAAAATATTACTTTCACAATCCTGTTAATGTATAAGAGATTTTATTACCAGAAACATAGATTTATACTGTTTATCAGCTATAAACTAGACTAGATATTAGGATGAAATTACTTACTGTGAGGATGGTCAGACACTGAAACAGGTTGCCCAATGAGGCTGAGGATGCCACCTCCCTGGAAGCGTTCAAGACCAGGCTGGATGGGGCTGTGAGTAACCTGGTTTAGAGTGAGGTGTCTTTGCCTTCAGCAGTGAGTTGGAGCTACATGATTTTGAATGTCCCTTCCAACACAAACTATTCTGTGATTCTGTAATATTTCCAGTAAAAGGAAACTAGTTTTTATAGAACAGTACATGGTGATTGGCTGCTGGGAATGTATGATAAAGAAGGAAGAGAAATGTTATTTTACATCTTGGACCTGTGCTTATTTATTTGTTTAGTTTAATAAGATAACCATAATTTCAGTTCAAAAAACAAATGTAAAATTAATAATGGCTTGACTCAGCTTTGTAAGATTAATTATCATTAAAAACTTGTGGGTCAGGTTGATAATGAGGTTGCATAGTCTTATCTTTATTTGTATTCAGAATGATTTTTTATTACTGATAGGAACAGCATATAAAATAAAAATGTCAAATATCCTGTTCCAAACGAATAATATAATAGAAGTGTTGTTCAATACATGAAGCTATGTGCAATTGACAAAACGTATGTTTTGATGAGTGGGTGTGAGACAATGTTTTCATATAGGTATGCATTTGTGCCTTTATTTATTTGTGTATCCATACGGATTAACTTTCTAGAAAATTTAAAATTATAAATAATATTTTAGAGCAGATACCAGAGGTAAACCTTCAGGAATTTTATTTTTCCTTTAGCAATGCTTTGCTCTGCATACTTAGGATTAAATTTACCATTAAATTAACACAGTTGGAGATGTTATATTTTGTATTTAAGATGATGATTTGAAAAGCTTCATCATAAAAAGGACACCCAGCAACCCAGTCTGGCTGTGATGGTAACATTTTAGCAGTAACTAAGCCAAATTGCTCCCAGTAATTCAGGTGAAATCCATGCTTCAGATATTTCTTCAAAATTGGGTTATATACAGGAGCTGCAAAATCAGCAGCTATGCTTCACATCTCCTGATGGTATAAATTAATTAAACTTAAGCTAGTTTTCACCAGAAAAGTAAGTCTAGCACATAGGTATGATATTTGTAGTGATTAAAACTCTGCATACTGTTGTTTTTGAGGTCTTGGTAGCATTTTCCTTCTTCCACCAAATTCATTAATAAATTTATATTCAGCAATTGTACCTAAGCAAATAAAGGAAAAGTAAATTCCTCCTACAAATAGCAGCAAGCAGTCTTTATTCACAACTGAACTGGTAATAAAATTTAGCTCCGATCCCTCCTAGAGGTCAGCTGCAGTTATGGCAGCAATGCAGGCAACAGTTAGGGCAGCAGCTTCGGGTTCCCAAGGCAATTTCTAGTTTATTCTGAAGTTTTTTTTTTTTACTTACTGATAACCATGGTCTTAAGCAATCAGACTAATTAACAAAAGCATGCTGATTCCATTTGTGATATTAACTGAAACCCGAAAAGATGGGAAAAACAATGATTTTGATAAAAGCAAATCACCCTGACTTCAACCTTGATTTGGCTCAGCAAATGTCGATGCATTCAATAGTGCTCATACAGAGTGTATGGGACTTTGGGGAGAATACTCTTATCTGTGTGAAACAATTCTGCACCTCATCTCTGCTCTATGGCTAAATAGTTCTGTGGAACAGATTATGGAATTCAACATTAATTTGAGATTTAGAGTCACAAACATGCCTTAATTTTACTTGATTACAGCATTATTGCTGCTTTCCATTAGATATGTGTGATTCTTGGGGACTCAGAATAGAATAAACTAATTCACAGTGCTTATATACCCCTATGACTATGAAGTAGGGTGTTTGGAACAGGGAGTGTGTACACTGACTAGAAAAATCTTTTCTGTATTTTTAAATGAGAGGAGAAAAAAACACAATATTTAAATCATTTCAAGTGCCAGAACACCCTCAAAGTGTCTGGCAGCTCTTCCTGAACCCGAGAAGTTGAAATTCAGCAGCATATATGAATACTAACCAACTGGTCTTCTCTTTGCCTGTGTGCTTTCTAGCAAGTTTTGCAGTTCAGCTTTTCCAAGAAACTCTTCCCTAAATATCTGTTTTAAAATTTGACAGTTAGAGCCAATTACCATAAAGAGGACATATTGTTTCATCAGCATTTTCCATTTCTTGTGTGATTGACAAGATGGGCTGGAATTTTAAAGCTCTCTATTACATAAGTCTTTCATTTTTAAGGAAGGTGCATGTCTTTTTGTCCATCTGCTTCTAAACTGGGTATATTCCAGCTTGAGCAATGCATAGCTGAAGAGATAGTCCAAGAAAGGAGTAGCAACTGTGTACCACTTGAGCTTCAAGAGAGAAGTCATTTTTCTGCTCTCCATAAAATCAAAATAATCTACATTTTGAAATTACTGTTGACTAGCATGTCTGGAAAGCAGACACAAGAATTTTTCTTGCATCCTGTTCTCTCTTTATCTTTTCCGTGTTTAAATATTAGCACGTTCTCTGAAATAGTAAGTGTTGAGAACCTTAACTACAGTTGAACTTGAAGTAAAGAATGTAGGGAAATGGAAGTGCATGTATATGTTTATTGAACTCTGATTTACTTTGCATAACTACATTAGTGTAGTTTGTCATCTCCATTAGTTTTTGTCATCAAATGCATATGTAGCAAGAAAAAGATGTCATTTCCCACTGAAATATACTACATGCAAACTTTCTGTTCAGATTTTGCTGTGATATCTCTCAGTAAAAGGATTTCCATTTGCTACTCTTTAAAAAAAGAATTAGATTTTGTATTCTGTACCTTTGTACAAAAATTGGAACTTCTGTGGGAATTACACATTCAGCAGAGGCACACAAGTAATTCATTCTAAAACTCTAATGTTCTGTACCTGAAATGTAATATTTTTCCCTAACAATCACTTGCAAGTACTGCTTTTCTGCCTTCTAGTGCCCTGTACACGACTTAGAAGTACACAGCGTAGTTGTGTTTCAATGATATCGAAGAAATGAGACACATAAGGTTTCATACTGTATACTTATCTTGGAATAGGTTTACTTTCCTTGGCCTGTTCCATTAGGAAACTTTAAGGTGCAAAATACGTGAAATGTTCTTCCGTCTTGCACTTCCATGTTATTTGCAGATGCCTTGTCTATAATATTTGTTTCCAGAAGGAACTTCGCTTCCACTTCTCAAAATCCTTCAAAAGCCATTTCTGTTTACTGTCATGAGATTGTGGATTTTAAATAAGTTTTTGTAAGATAAAAATTAAATAGCTATAGATAACTGCAGTTTGATTTAAATGAATGACTCCTACTGCATTGTGAAGTGAGGACAAAAATATGTTAAAAGATAATGACATGCCATAGAATATAAGAAACTAAGCAAGGCACCTCATTACAGTGTGCATGCAACCTGGAATGAACAAAAGGTCGAGAATGGAATTGTCACTAAGGACCTCAATTTTAGGAAACAAGTCATATATGAACAAGGTGTTGTCATGAAAGATTTTTTGTCCTTTCATCAAACTTTTTATTGTACTTTTGATTGGTGATCTCAAACAGAAAAAGTAACACTGTACCAGGCAAAATTACTGGATGTGTATTTAAACAGCACATTAAATAGCTGAGCTGTGTGAGTTAGTGATGTTTAAGCCATTGGCTCACATCTGTAATAACCAGTAGTTCTTTTTCTTCAGCTGGAGCTTTTCGCTTTCACAAAGGGAATATAAGACATTAAAAGAGGTATCTGCTTTTATTTTTTCCATACTTCTATTCTCCCTGCAAGTCTAATGTTGCACTGACTGATCTAACACTTGAAAGCTCAGTGAAATAGGGCCTCCACTTACAGTAACCTTCTGTAACTCAAGTCCTCTTTCTTTTGTTTAAATTCCCACAAGTGGCTTTATTTGCTATTCTGAAATGAGCTACAATAACAAACTAGTTTTCAGGTGTCTGTGATTACCATATTAC